AAATGGATGTCAATGGAGGAGAGGCTTCACTACGCTGAATAAACAGCTTTTTAGAGGAAACAGCTTATCATTTAATTAATTGACAGCCTATTGGCTAATCTCCAACATGTTTTACACTAAGCAATACTTTTGAATTGAACTATTTTTTTGAGTTTACACTGGAAAAATTGCCATTTTATAAGAGAAGTCACTGACTTTTTGCGACAGGTGAGACACAGCTTACGGCATTTCTCATTCATTCCTATGGTATCTGTAAACGGCGATTGAGTGTCGCACAACTCTGACTGAAGTTCAGTGACGTCAAGGCTGTAATGTGATTGGTTATTAATGCACACGTGATCCAAGTTAGCCGTTACGCTTTCCCTAATAGATCCTTTTAGGGGCCACGTCACAATTATGTCACAGCGCTACCTGGAGGAAAAACAAAGGGAAAACTGGAGACGGCCAATTCAAACCAGCACAGATTCGGCTACACAAGGAGCTTAAAATATCATCTTGTTTGATCGTTACATGACACATACATCTTCAAATAACATATCCATCACATTGAATGTTTAACTTTTCTTTCTTTTTTTTTTTTTGGCCCAGTTCATGTAGCTGTAAAAATAGTTGCCTGCTGACACTGAAATATATATACATCTTCATGACTAGATAGACACAGGTGAGTTTCTCTTTACTATACACTTTAGGTTTCTCTATAGATGTGAGTCACTCAATCCTGTCAGATCGTCCATCCTTTGAGTGATTCTGGTTTCGTCCAAACCAGTGTGTTCATAATTAAGATAATACATTAAAATAATATGATAAGACAATTTTCAATATCAAGCAGCAAAACTAACTGTTTTGTACAGCTAAAAATAGCTGGATGCGGATGAGACTGGAAGTCAGTCCCATAGAATTGACAAATGGCCGCGCCCATTTTTACGGGAAGAAAAAGGTGAATAGTAAGTAATACAGACCCTCTCATCCAGGGTTGCCAGATTGGACGGGTTCCAATAGGCTTGGGCGGCTGGACAAAATTTGGGCTGGTTTGGGGGTCAGTTTGGCAGTTTTCAAACATATAAATTGCATAGGCTAATTGTTTAACAAAACAAGCCCAAGTATGTATACTGCATCCAATCAGTCATCATAACGTTACTACACACACACACACACACACACACACTGCAGAGGCGCTGGTGCTGATGTAAACGTCGACAGCCGCACTTATCACGAGGGCTCAGCAGACAGACGTTATGTTTTTAGCGTGATAAGTTATAACGCATCTAATTTTCAATGTAGTATGACTGTATATTCAAGTAATCACAATGCCTAAATATAAAGAGTGGGAGAGTGACTCAACTCTCAAAACATGAATTATTGTGGAGTGAGATGACCCGAAGGCTCTATCACTGCAACTTCGAAATCAGAGCACATTTGAATTAATTAATCAAAACCGAAACTAAATATGTCGGTTTATACAATCCTGTCTTTTATCTTTTAAACGGTCCAGATTGATAAATCCTTGAAAACTGCTATTGGTTAATTTCTTGATTGCCGTTTTGACGGTGTCTGGTTGCATATTTTATTCATGTTCGGTAGCCTAATTCTCTTTAATGTAGGCTATTTGCCCCGATTTGATCAGTTTACCTGGGAAATTTATCCAACGTTATATTTATATTATTGTGTCATCATTATTTTGTTTTAAGGAGTTAAAAATGGTCCTTATCAACCTTGTTGACAGGTAAAGTTTTGGGCGTGTTTTTGTGAGCTTTTGGGCTGGAAATCGTCCATCCAATCTGGCAACACTGCTCTCATCTCCCTATAGTAAGACAATCTCTGGTAATTACCGCGGACTCCCTGCGAGCGCGCGTCAGGAAAATGCACCGTGATATCGCGCGCACCGGAGGTGAAAGCTGCTGTTGACACGCTGTCATTTGCCGCTCTTC